CCTGTTTTGGAGGGGCCTGTTTTGGAGGGGCCTGTTTTGGAGGGGCCTGTTTTGGAGGTGTGTTCCAAGCGGTGCTGTTGGTTCTGGGGCACACGCTGAGCTCCCGTGCCAACCCTGCAACCTCATCTGGCTGCAGGGCAGGTCTGACAAGTTCTGGGGCGCTGGGGAAGCTGGAGGTGAGGATCAGCTGAGGGGCTGATTTGGGATCTCCTTACTCAGTCTCTTCCTAGTGACATACAATGCCTGGAGGAACTGTGCTGCAGGCTTAGCCTGCTGCTGCTCATCACCCCAAATTGAGCACGACTCTGGGAGCTTTGGGACAGGTCTGTCCAGTCACAAAGCCAGCAGTGGTGTTCCTTTGGGACAGGTCTGTCCAGTCACAAAGCCAGCAGTGGTGTTCCTTTGGGACAGGTCTGTCCAGTCACAAAGCCAGCAGTGGTGTTCCTTTGGGACAGGTCTGTCCAGTCACAAAGCCAGCAGTGGTGTTCTCCTGCCTCTTCAAGAGCATTTTACTCGCAGTTGCACCAGCCTCCCCTTCCCCTTTGCTCCTCACCAGCTGCTTTAACAAGTTGTGACTAGGCTGATCTTTTGGTGCAGGAGATAACCTGGAGGAGAATTCCTCAGGAATGCTTTTGATTACTGGCTGCCTTCCTGGGCTTTTCAGAGGGCTTGATGAATTCTGGGAATGTCCCTTTCTTTTATTTTTAAATTGTTCTGCTGGTTCCTGCTTTTGAGGCTGAGTGTTTACAGGTAGAAATGACTTAAGAGGAGAAACAAGTACTTATTAATTACTGCTCAGTTCTCCATCACCGTGGTCTCCTCTCTTCATTTTAATGATCTCCTCTTGTGAATCCATATGCTGAAGGCAGGAGACGTGCTGGCTCACAGCATGGGGAGGGAGTGGGCAGTCAGAGCTGCTGCTGAAGACTCATGAGCATTTGTAGGGCTGCTTCTGCTCCTTCCTATATGTCAGGTTGGAATTGGAGCCTTCTGTGAGCAGTTGGGACACACTAATCCAGCAGAACATTATCCTTTTCCCAGGAGCTGCATTAATTTCTGCCCTGGGCTTGAGCTGAGTCTGATCATGGAAGGTCTCTGGGGCTGGCATGGGTGCATGGGGCGTGTGGGCCTCCTGCTCTGGCATGAGCTGGGCACTCAGTTCGGGCACTTTCTTAGGCTTGACTCATGCCCTGACTGGCAGGGTGAGTGCTGGCTGTGCAGCGTGAGAGCTTCCTCAGTGTTTGTCCTGTTCCAAAGGAATCTGGTTGGGTTTTTTTTTCCAAAAAACAACAATAAAAATCCTTTTGCCAAGAACACAAGGAGTTCTTCACTCCTTGTTACCTGCTGGAGCCAGCTGCCTTCCTCCCAGCACACCCACTGGAGCCTGTGCAGCATCCAAGTGCTCCTCCTGCACCACAGGGCGTAATCAAGCATCCCAGCTCAAACTGGGGATGGAAATCCTAGGGATAAGTGGCTGCCTGTGCTTCCCAGTGGGTTGGGAAGCAGTGGGTGAGCAGTGTCCATTGGCATTCAGGTGCTGGTCAGTGCCAGGTGTCTCCTGTCAGAGCAGGGTGTCTGTCCATCCTGGTGACACCAGTGTCCAGCTGTATCACTGCTCGTCCACGTAGTTCCCTACTCCCAAGTGTGGGAAAACTCTTGTTCAAGTTTAATGTTGCCTTTTCCATCACCTGGATAATAATGGAGGCAGACCTCACAATTACTCCTTTGCCTTTCTCCTTATGTCTTCCCTGCGTACGGCCTCTCTATTTTTAACCTCGGGCCTCCAGATTTGTTTTCCTGAGCCCTCGTGACCTCTGTGATATTTTGACTTTGGAATATTTAAGACACAGCATTGTAGGCATCCTGCATAGCCAGGCGTGACTATTGTTGTTGCCAGCTGAATAGTCGTTATTTTTTTGGCCGCTTCTGGCGTTCTCACCTTTCAGTGGCTCGGAGAGGAGCCCTCCAGGCTCCCTGTGTCCACTTGGCTATTTACAGCCGCTCCCAGCAGCCACGTTTATTAACTTCTTGGAAGTGGAATCCTCTGGAATAGAAATCACAACAGTGCAGAGTGTCTGGAGGAAGGTTTGGTACAAATGCCTCGGCCCAGCGGTGCGTTGGGACGGAATAATTGTCATCTTCGGTGCTCTGGTAGTTCTGCTGATTCCCCTTGGAGTTGTGGTTATTTTTCTTACTTTATATGGATCTAGATTTTCTTGCTTTATATGGGTCTAGATTTGTTAGGTTTTTGTATTTTTTTTCTTTTTTTTTCATTGTCTGTTCAGAGTGAGTTTGCTGAGAAAAAAGTAAATCAAACCGAGTATTTTAAGGAGTATGCTCCTTCGGTCTTGCATTCCTGCAAGTGCTGATTGTGACAGAAGGTGGAGTGAGGAACTGGGTGCTCAGTTCAGAGAACTGGACCCCTCTCTTGAGCCTGGAGAAAAGGAGGCTCAGGGGTGACCTTCTCACTCTCTACATCTCCCTGACAGGAGGGTGGAGCCAGGTGGGGATCAGGCTCTGCTCCCAGGGAACAAGGGACAAGAGGAAACAGCCTGAAGCTGTGCTAGAGGAGGTATAGATTGGATATTAGGGAAAATTTCTGTACAGGAAGACTTGTCAAGCCCTGGCACAGGCTGCCCAGGACAGTGGTGGAGTCACCATCCCTGGAAGTGTTCAAAAAACATGTGGATGTGGCACTTGAGGACATGATTTAGTGCTGAACATGGTGGTGGTGGTGGTTGACGGTTGGACTTGGTGATCTTAAAGATCTTGTCCAACCATAGCAATTCTGTGATTCTCAAACTTGCTGTGATTAACTGCACACTGGAAGCTTTAAGTTTGGAGACTCCATTAATTTGGAATTGTTTACAAAACACTTGTGTCTTGTTAACTGTAGTTTAAGGAACAGAGCATTTTAGAGAGGTGGGAATGTGTTCTGCTGGCACATAAATGCCATTAATTGTCCATCACCTGCAGTCTGCCCACCACACATCTGTGGGTGGATCATCCAATAGCTGCTTCAGGCTCACTCTGAAGTGGGTGTAATTCCTTGTGGGTGTAATTAGGGAATACACTGGAAGCTGCAAACCATATTTTTCTTCAGTCCTCTTTAGTTCAATTCTGCATAATTTGCTTAGATCTTTACCTTCAATTTACTTAATTTATAAGACTCGATCTGCATTTATTCTTGAGTAAACAGTACTGTTGTTAGATCTTCTTTATCAATAGCAAAGCCTGAGCAGCAGGGCTCAAAGCCCTCTGTCTTTGAGCACTGAGGTCCTTAAAATCAGCATGAGGAGGAGTGTGGTCCTGTGGGCTGGGTCTGGAGCTTCCCTTTTCAGGGATGCATCCTAGAACCCCTTCCATGACCATGAAGGGGAGCAGCTGCCTGCTGGACTCCTTGAATAAAAATTCCAGTAGCACTTTCTGGTTCTGAAGATCTTCTAAGCCATGCCTTGTTTTTTTGGTAGTAAATAAGTTCAAGTGAATTCACGACTGGTGACACTTAGGTAACTATTAAAAATGTATTTCTGTACTGGAAGAAATAGGAAAAAATCCTGTCCTCTGAGTTTCCAGGCATGAAAAGCTGCTTAACAGAGGGGGGATGCACCCCTGGCTTACACTGCCAGGCAGTTTGATTTGTGTGGGTGTTGGGATTGATGTTAGTGAGTAATATTTTATGGTGGTATCATTCAGATGAAGTGTGGCTGGGCCCTGTAAGCAGGAGGCACAATTCCCTCGGGGCCTGGAGTGCTGCTTGTGCCTGGAGCTGGGCATTTCTCTCATTCCTATGATTCTGAAGCATCACAAACCAGTCTAAAGAAAGTCTCTGAGTGTATTTGTTTGTTTTTTTTTCTTTTAGGCTTAAACCAGCTGCCCTTTGATCCTTCCAGCAGCACTGAGTCCCTGTCGGAGAGCCCGGCCGAGGATGGAAGTCATCCGGGAAAGAGGAAGAGAGCAATTCCTCCAGGTGAGCTGAGGGGCAGCTCCACTGCTGGCAGCAGGGAAGGGATCCACGTAGCATAGCCTAAATCCAGCTGCTGTGCTGGGTGTTGGTGTGGAAGGTGGACAGGTAGAGCTGTGCTCTGGTCTGGTGTGCCCGGAGCCATGCTTGGATTGTGGGATCTCTACGAGGAGAACATGGAGACAGAACAAGGGGGAATGGCTTCACAGGAACAGGGCAGGGTTAGGTGGGATATTGGGAAGAAATTCTTACCTGTGAGGGTGGGGAGGCCCTGGCACAGGTTGCCCAGAGAAGCTGTGACTGCCCCATCCCTGGAAGTGTTCCAGGCCAGGTTGGAGCAACCTGGGATAGTGGGAGGTGTCCCTGCCCATGGCAGGGGGGTGGAATGGGATGGTCTTTAAGGTCCTTCCCACCCAAACCATTCTATAGCTGTCCCAATAGTTTTATTTTTCTAATTGAATAGTATCTCAAAATTAAAATCATGACCATAATTAGAAGCATGATAAGGCAGATGAGCCCAAATGACTGGAGACATTCATGTTTAAGAAAATGTCATAAAAGCAAACCGTTAGATGAATCATATGATGTTGTAATATCAGATCAAGGAGTCTTGCAAAAATATTTCTTCAATGCCATCTTACAATTTCTTACAAAGAAAATTTCTTCCGTGCCACCTTCAGGATTTCTCTGAGTGATTGGGGGAAAAAGCCCCCCACAGAATAACATCTTTGCAGATTGTATTGTGGTTGAACACTGCAATCCCACCAGTGTGACTGGGGGAATGTGGCACCTGCTCGTGCCATGGAGGTGAGAGACTGTGTGTGTACAGCACAGTCTCTCTGTACTCCCTCTATAATCCCTCCCTTAGTAACTTTTCCGTAGGGAGGTGCCAGGTGCAGAGGGATGAGGCTGGACCTGAGGCAGAAGGAAGGTGATGTGCAAAGGCCACGGCTGCAGAAACAGGGTGAAATGTGATTGGGTAAAGAACAGGTCCAACTCTGTTTCCCTGGAGAGAAAAATCATTTGAAGGAAATTTGAAGGAAAATCTGTGTCTTTACAGTTTACAGCAGTTTAAGGATGGTTTTGAGGTGCTGAGAGAGCACAGGAGAGCTCCACTGGGAGCATGGAGCTGAACCTCTTGTCCTTCTCACGTCTCCTTCTCCCTCCCCAGCCTTCCCCTTCCCATCTATGTTTGAACAAACTCAGGCATTTCTGCACTTGGGCCCCTCTCACTAAAACCTGCACAGACAAAAAGAACAAGTATCTGTCAGGTGGGAGCCAGGGAAAGGTGTGTCTGACCCAGCCAAATCACTGAAGAGAATTTGAATGCTTAGTCAGGCCCTGTGTTTGTGTAGTGTCAGTGGCTCCACCTGGATTACCTGGTAGTTCTGCTCTGCTGGTCCTGCTGCTGACAACAGCACGTTGTTCTTTGCTTCCTTTCCCCTTTGAGTGTGGAAGAGAAGTGACTTCCAGTGGCAGTGGGAGGATTCTGCTGGGACAGCCTGGCCGGCTCTGTTCAGTTGAGTGCAGTTTCACAGTTTATACCTGCTGGATGTGTGTCCTTTGTTCATAAATCTCTTGGGAGGAATCAGTGTCCCGTTACCTTTCCATCACTGTTTCATCAAGGCCCCTTAGAGCTGTTAATTGCAGTGGATAAACCATAACTGAGGTGCTTTGAGGTGTTTTCCTAGACCTGGCTGCTGTAAATGTTGGCTGCTCCAGAGGGACAGCACCGGTTGTTTTTTTCCCATCTGGTTCTTCCCCGGGCGTTGGGCTCAGCTGTGGTTTTGGGTGCTGACACTGCAGAGCCTCGCTGGGCAGCCTGTGCCCTGCAGCAGAGCTGGGAGCTGCTCTAAGCTCTTAATCACTTTTATTTTCCTCTCAGCAGATGGTGGCAGAAATCTGAGCCTGGACTCCATTCCGATGGGATTGCCAATGTCCGACCCGACCGCCTGGGCCACCGCCATGAACAACCTGGGGATGGCTCCCATGGGCATGACAGGACAGCCCCTCCTGCCTGGTGAGCTGAGCCAGGCCCTGCCCACCTTTCCTTCTGGACAGGTCTTTGGAAATAACCTGTGTCAGTGCAGTTGGATAAACACCCACCACGCACACAACCACGTGGACAAGCTGTGCTTGAAATACATTAAATCTGCAAGTGATTTATTTAGAGACCTGGTTTGAGGGGATACATATTTTTAAATGCAAATAGTTATTCTGGGGTGCCTCTAGGTATTCTGCAGTGGATGAGGAGGAAGAGGATGCCACGCTGAGCTCAGGAAACCAGTGATATCCAGGAACACGTTACTCTAAGCTGAACTGGAATGGTTTAAAAGGAAGGGTGGGAGGGAGATGAAGAGAAAACAACAGGGCAGCAAATTGGATATGGCAGAAATTAATGAAGGATTCTGTTCCAGGAATGACCACCTTGTCTGGAATACCTGTGCATGGGTCAGTCATCCTGTCCAGGGTGACAGAGCTCCTGTGAGAACAGAACTGGGCTGTGCCTGGTTTCCCAGCAGTGCAGGATTTTGGACATCAAAGTCCTGAACTGACCTGACCGTTCCAATGCTTTACTGCAGTAAGGAGGATGCTCTCTCCTGCCTGAACACTTGCCTGCTCACCTGGGGAGGGAATGTCTGTGTTGGCAGCACTCTGCAATCCCATTTCTGCTCTTTTGGCACAGAGCAGGTTCTTTTAACAGCCCTAAGTTTTGCCTGCAGTCTGTGCTCTTGGAATAATAGAATCATGGAATGGTTTGGGTTGGGAAGGACCTTAAAGCTCATCTTGGTCTACCCCCTGCCATGGACAGGGACACCTTCCATTGCTTGGAAGGTTGCTCCAGGTTGCTCCAAGCCCATGTGTCACAGGTGTCTTTCTGTGGACAAACCTCACTGGGAAGTGCTTGACACTAGATGGGAGCTGGTGTCTACAGAAGGGAGAAGGAAGTAGTTTATTTTAACAGAGAAAAGTTATTTGACTGAGGCAATCAGCAACAAAATAGTTTTAAAAAGTTGTGTTAAGGGCACAAACCTGAAGTTTGATGTTGCCGTGTTCCTTCTCTGGTGTTTATTCAGCTGATTTGCACTGGCACGTGTGGGAGTGTACCTCATTTGCTGTCCAAGTTCACAGTCACTCTATGACTCCAAACCCCCCTGACTCCCTTATTCTTTCCCCCTTTTAGACTTTGATCCTGCTCTTGGGATGATGACTGGAATCCCTCCGATCAACCCCATGATGCCGGGCTTAGGGATCGTCCCACCTCCCATCCCTCCGGACATGCCTGCTGTGAAGGAGATCATTCACTGCAAGAGCTGCACTCTCTTCCCTCCTAACCCACGTAACTGTGCTTTGTCCTATCTCTGTAACAATATCTGTGTGTTTATATTTCTGTAAAACCTGGGGGTGTGTGAGAGAAGGGCCGTTCCTGTACCTGGGCACAACAGGTCTGGACTGAGTCCCTGTGACTCATTGCTGACAGGAAGGTGACAGGGGCAACAGGAAAAGCCTGTTCTTGTCACTGAGTGTTTGCCATTTCCAGAAATAGCCTCTTCAGTTGTTAGGTTGATAAGGATGGGGAAGAAAACATTCCAGCCCCTGGATATTTGAAGCCTTTATCTAAGGCTTGGAGGTGAGGGGCATGGTCCATGCTGAGCCATGGGAGTGCTCTGGGGTTTGCAGAATGCAGTGGAAGGAGAGCAGGGGCAGTTGGAAATAAGAGAGAAAACTGAAGAAACACAGGGCTCACCAGGCTGTAGCAGGAAACAGGGATCCCCTTCACACTGGCTGATGACCCTTTCTCCTCGCTTCTGTGATAAGAACCAGAGGGGTGAAAACCAAAACAGACATGATACAGGGACATGTCTGCCATTGATAGTGTGGATCTGTGTGGGAGGGTGTAGCTCAGGCAGGAAAGTCTGGAGTGTGTGCAGTTGCAGCACAGAGAATCCTCTGTATGCATTTGCCATGTATTATTTACACTAGGACAATTTTTTAAACTGTGATTTTTATAGCACCTCCTACCATGAAGTTTTGAGCCCCTGGTGCTGCCTGTGTTCTGTGACAGCAGCTCAGTGAGCCTGTGCTTGCACTTGAGAGGGTGTTTGAAGGGCTCCAGGCTCCTGAGATCTTTTGTTTGGAAACAGGCAGGTAAACATGTCCTTGAAGGACGCCAGCAAGGTGTGGTCGTCTCTCAGGAGAGGTGGACAGATTGTAGCGGGGAAGGATGCTGAAACTGAAACCATACACCGTTGAAAGCTCAACAAAAACAATATTTATTACAAAGAAGTGGCCAACAAAATGAGAAACTGAGAGACAGGAAAGAGGAGAGAGGGAAATAAACCCTCAATAAACCCCCCACTCATGCAGGTGTTACTTAGGAGGCGTCCCCACAAAAGGCAACATTGTCCTCCATGTGAGGCTTGAGTCTAACTCCAAGCACCAGCCATCTGCTTTTTATCCAACTTCTTGGTGATGTCTACCTGGGCAGGTGTGGCCAGCACCGCCCAGCTAGAGGCCTTCAGTCCCTCCCCCCCATTATGTGAGTGGTGCCCCATCTGCACATGCGGGGGGACTTTGGAATTGCCCCGGGCTCGAGCGCTGCACCTCAGGGGGTCTTTTCTAAATGAGTCTGGGGGCGTCCTTCATCACCCTCCTCTTCACTTTCTCCTTCAAATGCCCTTGGAAGGCCATCAGCCAATAGTAAGACCCCAATTAATTGTAGTTTGTACAAAAGGCTTCCTTCAAGGACGAAGTTCCCCTTTCTCAGGGCTTGTTTTCTCATAACTTGGCAGGAAAAGGTGGCTGGGCCAAACACAGACCAAAAGTATCAACATCTAATTAAGCCCGGATACACAGATGGAAGGCACACGTGCTGTCGACCCAAAAACTGACCTGCTCTGATTTGTCTCTTCAGATCTTCCCCCTCCAGCCACAAGGGAGAGGCCCCCGGGGTGCAAGACGGTGTTTGTTGGAGGGCTGCCGGAAAACGGGACGGAGCAGATCATCATGGAGGTGTTTGAGCAGTGTGGGGAGGTCATCGCTATCCGCAAGAGCAAGAAGAACTTCTGCCACATCCGCTTTGCTGAGGAGTTCATGGTGGACAAGGCACTTTACCTGTCTGGTGGGTGTGTTTGTCTCAGATGGCAGCTTAAAATTCTGGGACAGAGATGTGATCTTGTCATTTATAGGCAGAACAGTAGGATTTGGGGCAGATTTTTCTGATCCTGTGTCAATTTGCCCTTCTGCTGCCATTGCATTTCTGCTTAAATACGTGACAGCAGCTCCTGAGGAAAGACAGTGTAAGGTAAAACATGTGGAACGCCAAGGCAGTGGAAGGATTAAAAAAAAGGTTTATTTAAGATGCAAGGACCACTTCTTAACTATGCTGCACACACCGGGCCCCAGGGAAAAAAGGCAGTGCCCCGTCTTCTCCAAGGCTTTTTGTGTCTTCTCTCTCTCCTCACCCACTCTCTCTGGCCTGAGGAGGCCTAGTACATGTCTGCAAAGATGTTATCTCTCTGCATACCAGGGAGAGAGGTAGCTTGCTCACAGCTTCTCCCTGCAACTTTCTCTGAAATGCGGAAGGGAGAACAAAAAACATCTAACCCATTTGAGAAGGCATTTTGCAGTCTTCCTAAGCGAAATTGAGTTCTAGCTTTCTGTCACAACTCCTTCTGAAATAGCCCCTACCGCCACAGACAGCAATGCTTTGTCATCTGGAAACCTCCACAAAATATTGGGCTGAGGTAGAGTCCATGCCCATCTCACCTGGATAAACATCCAGCTGATTCTTTAGACGGTGCTGAAGGGTCCCTGTTGCTCCCAGTTGCTTATGAATTGGCCGGCGTGCTTGACTTTTGTGGGGATTTTGTCCCTTTGAGCCATCAAAGCTGAACCATCCCCACCCCCAGGCTCCTTTTACCTGGGGAGCCCCACGTAAGCCTGACCACTTGTCATGCCCACCAGGCTACCGCATCCGGCTGGGCTCCAGCACGGACAAGAAGGACACGGGGCGCCTGCACGTGGATTTTGCCCAGGCCAGGGATGACCTGTACGAGTGGGAGTGCAAGCAGCGGATGCTGGCGCGGGAGGAGCGGCACCGGCGGCGGCTGGCGGAGGAGCGCTTCCGCCCGCCCTCGCCGCCGCCCGTCGTCCACTACTCCGACCACGAGTGCAGCGTGGTGGCCGAGAAGCTGAAAGGTGAGTGACTCTCTGGGGGCTGTGGCCACCCGTCTGTCCAGTGCTGGACAGAACTCTGTGTTCTCCAGGAGTTGTCTTGCTGAGCTGAGGTTGCCCCTGGCAGCTCTCCGGGCCGTCTCCCTCTCAGAATTGTTTCTTTTTGTCAAAACAAACCTGTACCTGAATTTATATTCGTAGAATCCCGGGTTGGAAGGGACTTCAAGGCTCACCTGGCCCAACCTTTCTTGGCAAAAGCACGGTCTAGGCCAAATGGCCCAATGTCCTGCCCAGCCCAATCTTGAAAGCATCTGATATCACAGAATCAGCTAGGTTGGAAAAGACCTCTGAGATCATCGAGTCCAACCGATGACCCAACACCACCTCGTCAGTTAGATCATGGCACTGAGTGCCTCATCCAGTCTTTTCTTAAGTACCTCCAGGGATGGTAACTCTACCACCTCCCTGGGCAGCCCATTCCAGTGCCCCAATCACTTCTTCCTAATGGCCAACCTAAACCTTCCCTGGTGCAGCTTAAGACTTGTGCCTTCCTGTCCTACTGCTGGTTGCCTGGGAGAAGAGACTGACCCCCACCTTGCTACAACCTCCTGCCAGGGAGTTGTAGAGAGATATTGGGGAATCCAGCACTTCCCATGGCTGATTGTTCCCATTGTGAAAAATTGACCTCTTGTGCCCAATGGGAATCTCCCCAGGAGTACCCATTCCCCCTCATCTTTTCCATGTGACTCCTTGTAAAAAAAAGGAGTTTCCATATTTTTTGTAACCACCCTTTATATCCTGGAACATGGTGACACGGTTTCCCCTAAATCTTATTTTCCCAAGACTGAGCAAACCTTTGGAGTGCAACAAACTTGCACAGATCAAAACTGTTCAGTACAAGTTTCTTCCAGAGAATTTTGGTTAAGGTTAAAAGGACTAGTATAAGTCCTAATACCTAGTTTGAAGCCTGAGACCCATGTTTGACCTGATAATTTTGGAGCTGGAGGGTATTTCCTTTCACAGAAGGATACATCCGAGTAGACATGAAGTTTTGCAGTAGGTTTCTAGCAGTTGGTCCTCCTCTTGTTGCACCTCAGCAGATGATTTGCTCCATCAGTTTGGTTTTAGACTTTGCCTGCCTTTGTACAGCTGTGGGTTCAGATCATTCCATGCTTCCAGGAGTTGTGATGAGCCACCTGAAGGAAGCCGACCATTGAAAGAGCAGTTCAGCGCCAGGGAAAGGACCTGAAAGCTGCCCAGGCAGCCCCATACCTGTGGTGTAAAGCTGTCCTTTCTTGCTACAGATGACACAAAGTTCTCAGAAGCCATCCAGACCTTGCTGACCTGGATAGAGCGTGGGGAAGTGAACAGAAGAACTGCCAACAACTTCTACTCCATGATCCAGTCGGCCAACAGCCACATCCGCCGGCTCGTCAACGAGAAAGCGGCTCACGAGAAGGAGATGGAAGAAGCTAAAGAGAAGTTCAAACTGGCTCTCTCAGGGATCCTGGTGCAGTGTGAGTAGTGTTTCCACACTGGATGTTGGTTGTCTGGTGTAGGGAAGACTCTCAATTTCTAGTCTGGAGAGGCCACACTAAAAGGGCTCCAGGAAAAGAAGTAGCAATGGCTTCCATGCAGCTACAGCTCATTTAGAATCAGGTGTCATTCACTTGGCAAAAATTCCTCGTGGTACTTTTTGCTGGGGTAAGAGTCCACATCTGGGGGGGAGGAGAGAATGAATGCTGAATTTGTTTCCTCTTTTAATTATCATCTGTTAGTAGTTCTGTCATCTTTTCAACTCCTCCTGTGCACAGACAAGGTAAGTTCCTGGGAATCTGGTGCCTCAGCGAAGTGTGCAGGATTTATTCACCAAAGGTAGGACACAGCAGAGTGTTTCCAACAGCCTGTTGCAGAACCTGGGTCTTTCAAATCCCAGTGCTTTATTAAATGAGGAAATAAGGAAGAGGCATGGACTGTATTAATTCCAGAACGTGTTTTGTAACAGTTCCTCAGACTGTTCATTG